GCACCCTTGACAGGAGGCTGCACGGACACAATCTCATCTGCCAATTCTCATTTTTTTTTTTTTACAAATAAATCCTATTTTTGTGGATCAAGTCCTATCATTTAAAAACGCCTGGGGGGTTTTCAGTATAAAGAATGGAATGTTCCCGAGACATGGAGGGACCCCCACCCCTGAAATGGAGTAACTGCCCCCCAGGAAACAGTCCAACAGGCTGGTTTTTCATGCTGATGTTCTCAAAGGGCCCAAGAAAAATCTGGCTAAAATGAAATAGCCCCATAAAGCTATTATGACCTTTGCCCTTAATTTGTTTCCCTGTCCCAGCCGATCCAAAGTATCAGACATTTTGAAGAAGGGGCTGTTTTCTGTGCATTTTGGAGACCCTTGACATTCAATGTAGTTTCCATCAAAATTTTATTGGGTAGTTTTGGAAGTGAAAAGAATGAATAGGCTTAACTATTACTTTGCTAGAAGAAAAAAAATGAACATTTACTTTCTCCCAGAAGTGATTTGCAACTTGCGAGGAAGCGGGACTGACTGACTTGAAGGGCCCACTTCCCAGGGTGATCTGGCTGGGGCTTCCAGGCCCCAGGCTGCGGTGCAGGCCCTGGCACCCCTGGTCCTTAGCGCCTCCTTCCACAAATGACTGAGACTCCAGGAGCTGCCCCTTCCGACAACCCTGGCGCTCTGGGGGACGCTCACATCTAAAGGGAAGGGAAGCGCAGGCATCTTGGTTTCCTCCCCAAGGGGGACAGCGCACCTGCCAAGAACTGGAGGCCCAGTGCTTCCTTCCCACCATGCATCTCACCCATGCGGTAACAGGCATCCTGAGCACCTACTACGTGCCAGGTGTTACCTACTGTATTAGGTTGAACTGCATAAAATTACTGTTTTATAAGAAATAGGAATACTGGAAATTTCCTCTAGGTAAACCTACTATGGTGGCGGAGGGAGCTCCCTAAGCTGGTGTTACTAAGTTTTTCTTTTGATGGAGTCAAAGGCGGTGCTGGGAACCCAGTAGTCACCACATGCTACGGGCCACTGGGCTGGCCGGACCCCCGTCCGGAGGAAGGGTGGACAGGACTGTACAGGAAACGGTGTGATAATCTGCATCTTCATGCAGGACTGAATCCTTCTACACATCAGCTTCAGCCCCTACGCAGACGCAGCCGCCCTGTGTCCCTGCGTCGCCAGGCCCTGCTCTGCCTCTCAGGGAGGCCGCTGGCCCTCGTAAGCAATTCAGAGCTGCAAAGTGGAGAGGATCTCCCCCGTGCTTGTTCACATGCCCCCAGAGCAAGACTGTGCTCAAAGTTCAGCTGCGAGCAGGGTCGCAGACAGATCAACAATTGTGAAATTAAATGATTTAATGACCCATCTTTATTTAATAAACAGCTCTAAGAAAAAAACACCTGTTGTCTTTAAACTCTGGGGCCCAAGGAGATGCCTAGTCTCCTTTCACGACTTCGTTAGAAGATGCTTTCTCTCTCTTTCAGTCAGCTCCTGTTAACTAAATTCTCCAAGAACCTGACTAAGGTAGTCAAGCTAGTGTCAAATTACAAAGTATGAGTAATCAAGGAGAACAAGGTCATGTTTAAAATATAAAACCAAGATGCTGGCATACTTTTTAAGTGGCGGATCTAGGTATGGGCTTATCAGTGATTAAGTTTGCTCAACAGCAAACTCAGCAGACCACGAGGCTGGGAGACCCCTTTTGGCTCTGAGTGACCAGATGAACGACCACGGCGGCCACCGGGGTTTCTCGACCTTGGTACTGGTGACAAGTCTGTGGCCAGATCATTGTTTGTTGTGGGGAGCTATCCTGTGCATTGTTGGGGGCGTAGCAGCACCCCGACCTCTTCCCACAGATGCCAGCACAACCTCTGGTCAAAGACTGGGTGGGATGGCGACTCTACAATCAAGGGGACATGGAGTCGGGGGGAAAGAGGAGCTTCCTGGGGGCACAAACGGAGTCAGCTTCACAGACCCAGAAGAGAGCCCGGAAGGGTGACCTAGAAAGGGTGTTAGGGCGAGATGAGCCATCACCCACCCTGTCAAGTGTGTGACTTCCAGCCCAACTCAAGGCTGGAGAAGAAACACTGGTTTTTGCAGGTGAGGGGCTCCTGGGCAAGAGGGGGGCTTGTTGCCTCGATGGTTGCTCCACGAGGGGGGCCTCGGGGGAAGTGATGAGATCTCTCCACCCTCGTCCAGGCCTCTGCCTGCCCTGGCATCCCTGCCTCAAACAGCTACTTCTCTTCCCAGCGTCCCCTGGCGCCTACTTAGCGTTTTCTCCTCGGCGTATTCTCGGACACCCTCCCTGCAGCACCCCATCCCCACACACCACAGGGACTTACATGCAGTGGTCTGCTTTTCTGCTTGTTCCTTCCATTAGGACTTGCCTCGGCCGGCTGGGACGCACACTCTCCCCAGGACTGACAGGCTGGCCCAGATTGGTGGTTCCCTCCTCCTCCCCCCAAGGGAAAAAACCTGCGCTGAACTGACAAAGAAAATCACTTTTCAACTCATCGGCAGGGAGGACCAATCAGCCACGTTCATGGACAGAGGCCAGCCGTGGTCAAGATGGCTACCAGCTTCATCGACGTGCACCCCGGGTTCCCTCTCAGGGCCGCAGCCATGAGACTGGGGGGGCGCAAGGCAGAAACGGAAGGAGAGCCAGCGTATGGAGGATGTGCATGGCCCATCCCAGCCCACCTTAGCTTGGGGATATTCAACAGACCCTTATTACATGTTTCAGAAAAATATTCTGTGCCCCGATTCGAGCCACACCCCCCTCAGTCTCGATAACACACCCAGAGCCGATGCGATCATCCCCCTACGCAGCGTGGCAGTTCCAGGCTTCAAACCAGCATGGAGAAGGGCCGCGGTTCGCCCACTGAATGGGAGGGTGGGTGGCCAGGTGACAGGGCGGCCGTTTCAAAGAAGACTCGGGATCGGATGCGGTCTGGCTCAAGCCGCGCCCGCCCCGTCGCCGCCACCCCACGGTGGCCCCCCACGGTGGCAGGCCGCCCGCCGACCGCGTCTCTTTGGCGCCCCGTCACCACTGTCAGGTTCCAACAGCAAGGACACAGAGACATTTCCGTCTAACTTTTATATGAAGAATTTAATTATCTATACACGTGACTAATCCAAAAGGTTGTATTACAGTTGTTAAAGCCGCAGGTCGATGTATTTATATATGGTACATTCAGATCCATGAAAACACTGGGGCGCCCGCTCCCGGCACGGTGTGAGCAGGGGGCGCTGCACCCCCGCCAGCCCAGGGCTCCGCGGGGAGACAAGGAGGGACAGAAGGAAGCTCCGGGGTAAGAAGTCATTAGGACAACTGCTAGACGCATCGAGGCTTCCTCCCCTGCCCCCGCCTTGCGTGCCGGCAGCAACGGGCGTCTTTATTGAGTGACTGCAACTAGTGTTGACAAGACAGACGGGGCTCCGGCTACCACAACACAGCTAGGACACACACAGACCGTGAGCGCCGGTTCGTGTCAGTCTGTAGACATTCCACAGTCTAGTTAAAAAATGTAAACATCGGAAATTAATTGCAGGGAGACTTCTATACATTCTTTCTTGTCAAGAAAATCACTTGTTCAAAATATGTCATTCCATGAAAAGTAACCGCAATAACACTTGGGGGAACAGAGACTCGAGAGAGATGGCAGACGTCGTCGATCGTCCCCGCCTCGGCGGCGGGGTCTACTGGGATATGGTATGAACACACGCAAAATTGAAACCCCCAAACAGAAAACACCAACTCAACCAGATAAATCTGAGACTGAACAAAAACACAGGTGCTTTCTCACGTGGCTACAAGGTCACCGTGCAAAATAAAAGGGCCGCGATGGGGCGGAGCATCGTACAGGTAACAGCTGTTGCCGCGGGGGGGACTAGCTTCTTATGTACAGGATGTGTTATTACACGCTCGACAAGGTACATCTGATACACACACGCACAAAACACCTTCGATTTAATCGGGCTCGTTCTACACGTCTTTAAACAGATTCACTGAACGCCTCTGTACTTCTAGAACGGGCGCGGGAAACCCAAACTACACAATTTAGTTGGTAACACTGGACAAAATGAAAAAAGTACATCGAGTCTCAGATTTATGGACATTTGGAACATTTTTTTTTTTTTTAATAGCACATGCAGCATTCCTTGATAGTGGGTCTTTTTGCAAAACCAAAATAGCAAAGAAGTTATTTATTCATTTTTTTTATTAAAAGGCTAAAATATATATATATATTTAAAAATAATTTTAAAACTATTGAAAGCACCTGTGCAAAGGTGGGGGGAAATCAATTTGAGTCACTAGGAAAGCCACAAAAGGACCCACTACCCTGTGTATTTTTGTAATTTTTGCTTCTATCTCTGCAAGTAGTAACTCGACATTGCCATCACATGCGACTAAGGTCAAATGAGGTAAACTGCTCTGCAGTGGGTTCTTCTACTCAGAAGGCAGTAGGTGATCATGCTGGAAGTCACATGATCAAGGCTGCATCTCCCATCATCCCTCTGGGCAGTGATATGGGATAGTGGGTCTCTTTGAGGACTTTCAAGTCTGAGGGGGGGATGGACAACATATGATTCCTAGAAAAAGGAGGAAAACAACACATAAGCAAAACAAAACAATGAGCAAAATCCAAGCTAGGAAAATGAGTCAGGCATGTAAACAGCATGGTGCCAAAATGATTAAAAAAGAAAATAAAAAGGGAAAAGGACAGGTGGGGGGAGGGAGGGCGGGGCGGGGGGAGGGAGGGGGAGGGAGGGGCATGCTACAGAAGGAATGAAAAGAAAAAAGGAAAAATTAAAAACAACGACAACCCCACGAGCTAAACCTTGCGTTACAGAAGGTCTTCAAAGAGACGGTTGCGAGTGCAGCAACGCTCTGGCTTAAGTTCTGCAAACCAAGCTCGGCAGAATCGGGGCAAAGCTGCATCTTTCACCGTCCGCTACCAAAGAGGAGAGGCAACAGAACCAGCGGCACTTACATTGCTGGCTGGGGTCCATGTCTGTGGTCAGCTTCACGTAGTTGGAGGGGAAGAGCCCCACTTGTCCGTTGGCCTCCCCCTTCCACCAGTCGGGGTCCTCCTTGTTGAGGACGTTGATGAGCTGACCCTTGCTGAAGGCCAGCTCGTCGTCGTTCTGGGCCGTGTAGTCGTACATCCCGATCACCTGGCACACTGCGGAGACAGGGTGGGTGAGTCTCGCCCCGGGCCAGGGGAGGGGGAGCCTGCGCACAGGTCAGGGGAGGCGCGTTGGTGGGTTCTGCAGGGAGGGTGGGGGCCGCAGAGGGAGAGGGGGGGCTTCAAATCCAGGACAAGCCACACTCCGCTCTAGTTTTTATCATCTCTTCCCCTTCCTCACGTGTGTGGGTCAGCCGTGGTCAGGGCTGCGCTGCGGGCGGGAGGGTTTCTAGCTGAACCCGGGGGACCTTTCAAAGGCCGACTCTGAGACTGGCCATCACAGGGCAGAGACGCACCTTGGGACCTCAAGCCAGAATGGGCCCCCCTTTTTTTCCTAAAGGTGGAAGGTAATTATTATCTGTGCTCCCAAATTCCAGATCTCAGTGAAAAGTAAAATCAGTATCTTACTCTGCTGGATCTTTGTGTCTCAGGTTTTTATCTCAAAGAAAGAAATTTTTCGTCAAGAACAATTTTTCTTTTCTCATTCCCCCTTGAATCTACGAGGTTAAAATGTTCTCAGTTCCGGCATGTCCATATTCCAGATGCATCTGCACAGTCAGCCTGCACCCTAATAATCTTCCCTAACCAATGAGCATACATAGAGCTAGACTTTTCAAGCTCTCCAGCAAATTCAATCACTTCAGCAAACGATTTATGGGCCAGAGATGGCGTCGGGGTACAACCAACCTGCTGAAGGAGTTGGACTCGCTAACAGAGGCCCCACTGCCAGGCCTCCCCAGGGACAGCAGATCCAGCTGGCAGCCCACCCGTCTGCCTGCACACGGCAGAGGCCCAGCTGGGGCTGGGAATCAGTCACAGTTTGCCAATCCTTTCATTTCTTGCGAAGGCTGCCAAATTTTAACCTTACTTCAACTGGGGAGGGACAGCCCAGATATTTAAACCATGAGGTCCTGGACGGCAAAGTCTGCATTTTCCACAAATGCCACCCAAGAATGGAGGGCCTGAAGACTGAAAACAGAACTCTGCTCCCCTCCCTTCCCCCAGCTCAGATGCTACTGAAGTGTCTAATTTGGTCTGTCCAGTCAGAACAGGCCCACAGGCCCAGCTGCAGGGCCTGGTCCCGCCACATCTCTAGGAGGGTGGGCAGCATCCTGCGCAAAGCCCCTCTGTCCTCAGGGAAGGTCAGGGGAGTATTTCAGTCTTCAGGGGGACACACATGACAACCAACAGCACCCCCCACTCCCCCGCCCTGGCCGCCAGCTCCTGACCTAGTGAAACCCCAGCCATTTATTTTTAGGGATCCCTTTTTGTCCCTTTGCCCCCTAGCCCAAGCCCCAATTTAAATAGTTGGAAGGAAATCAAGAGAAAACTCCGGCTTTAATGCTGCGGCATTCTTGAGTCCTTTATGAGGAGCGGTCCAACAAGGGCCCTGTTGTGCCCGGCCAGGCGAGGCGGCGTAGCTACGGGGCCCTCTGAAAACCATGTTCCACCCCCCAGGAGCGGGGTGTCCATCCTGACAAGTGCGAAAGCCCCTGACAGCAAGTGCAAAAGACTACCTAAGATTCTTCGAGAGGGGACTAGTGGGAAGACCCAGGTGCCCTGCCGGCCCCTTCCCGAATGCAGACTGCGGGCTGCCTACCTGCTGGGAACGCCGTGGGCTTGGCTGGCTCCGTTGGAGTAATTTTGCTCGTCCCAGGGCTTAGAAGTTTTACGTAATTAGCCGGGAACCAGCCTATCTGGCGCTTTTTTCCACGTGCCTAGTAAGAAAATAATCACATCAAAATGTTTACAGCGTCCATGTTCTCACAGGACAGCTTGCATTGTCACAGAGCACTTCATGGAGCTTATGTACAACTGCAAAGCAGAAGGCCTCCACAGCAGGCTCTGGACTAATAACGTAACAATAACAACAGCGGTTAACATGATAATCAACATTTACCGAGCGCTCTATGAGCCAGGCCCTGTGCTAAGCACATATGTGTATTTTTCACCACAATTCCAGAAAGATAATACTCTCATGGCTCCCACTTCCCAGATGCAGAAAGTGAGGCTAAAGAGAGTCAACAGCCAGTCCCAAGGTTACAGGCCAGTTAGTGGCCATCGAGATTCACACTCGTCTCCATTATTCTTATAACAATCAGAAAAACACAATAACAAGCATGCAAGTGTACTGAGAACAGGAGTCTCAACTTCACAGTGTTCCCCAAAACCAAAGGGCCTGTGGGGTGGCTACCACCACATTTTTCATTCATCCCCTTCTCCTTCACTGCCACCTAATTTGAAACAAGACTCATTTACTGAGTGACTACAGGCCAGTTGTTGGCAATCAACTGTACATGGCACGGAGGAACTTGAAACTGCAGAGTCAAGACTGACGACTATGGGACAATTCCCAGGACTGGGGAGGCTGTGTGGGGATCGAGAGAAGGCCATGACTGACCTGCATGGCACAGCAACAGAGAACTTGGAATAGCTCACACGTGTGCCTGCACACACATGCCTGCACAACCTCTAGAAACAAGGCCCTCACAAAAACAGTTGCTTTTGGTGACAGGGTGGGAAGAAGCATCTGTATCCCCTTTTGTAACTTGAATGTTAAGCCAGGAGCATCATCACCTACCCTAAAAGGAATAAAACAAAGGAAACTTGTGCCACCTGCCTCTGGCCTCTCCCCTGCCAGTCTGCCCAGTAGCCACCCCGGGTGACCCGGAGACTACAGATCCACTGTCACTCTCCATGTGGGCTCAGACTTCACACGCTGGGCTCAAGGTGTGAAGCTTTTATTTTCACAGTGAATTTGCCAATGATTGTAGCCACCCATTCACAAGATCCCCCATGTTCATTGAGACTATTCGCCACCCCTGCACTTTCTGCAGGCCGGCACACAGAGCTCACGGCAACCTTATCTACAATGAGAGAAACTGTGCAAAGCATCAGAAGCTCTCACACGCACAGCAACTCAACACCTGCACGGCTCGCACCCACACGGCTGGCACCATCCTTCTGAGCTGGCTGCCCTGTGTGCGTAGCAAGGGGCTGTGCTGCTCCCACTCACCACCATATAGGCCTGCCCCTCTTTGTCCAAGGCTGGCCTCCACAAAGGGTAAACTAAGCGTATACAAGTGCGCACACACAGGGAGGAAAAACACTGGATGTACAGATGTGGCTTTGGAAACAACCATCTGCTCTTGCACCACGTCTCACAAAGCCATTGACTGACAGCGCGGGGTCCATGCCATGTATGGGAGACTCGGGCGGGCAGCACTGTCCCGACATGCATTTCTGACTTAGGAACAGATTCAGATCAACCTTCAGAAGAATCTGTAGCTCCCAAAGGCCTGCGACCTGCTGTCTGCAGCTTAGGAATCATACAGGGTCAGATCACGCAGAATCTCATGCCATCCAAACACCGGACTCAGGCCACGTGCAGTTCCTTGACTTTGCAAACACTGTCCCTCTGAGGTTTTGCAGATTCAAATCAGGACACAGACTACTCAACAAATGAAAAAGACACTAACTTGCAGCTCTCCTTCCCACCATCCACCTGGGTTCTTTTTTCGGATCAAAATCAGCTGACCAGGGGCCAGGGTCAGCTGCTCGGGGCCGGTGGCGGTATAGGAGGCAATGACCTGCGCGATTTCTGAAAAACAAGAGCAAACATCACAGGCGTGGTCACGTCGGGAGGAGGTGGCCCCAAGGAGACTCAGCTACTCCCTGGCTCACAGATGAACATCCTCAGAGTGGCTGGCCTGGGCTGGTTTTCTGCTAATTGAGTAAGGCTCATGGCTGCCCCCACCCCCACCCGGCTTCCAGGATGTGGCCGATCTCAGGGTGCCACCCAGTCTGCTTAAGGACTCCCTCATCTCTCAGAACCGATTTACTTACCAGCTTCCCTCCATGAAGTGCTCCTCCTTCCCCCCAGTGTGCTTCCCACCCTGGTCACAGGCCCTGCTACAAATACCGTGAACACCCTGATGCCAAGACCCGGGCCCCCTGCATTCCCTCTGCCCCCAGCACGGTGCTGGCCACACAGTAACACTCGGTGTCGGTTACATGAGTAATGGAGTCACGTGAAGCTTCCCACCCGCAAGTACAGTAAAGAGAAATTCTGCTCCAGAAGCAGCCGGAGAAGGCACCACCTGACTTTTGTATCTCGCTTCCCACAGCCCCGCTGCCCTAGGCCATTTTCTGGGCGGCTCACAATTGGAGGCTGACGCCTGAATATTGGGTAGAAATCAGACCGGTGCACGTTTGTGTCTTTTTATTTCAAGTTAGAGGAGGAACCTGGGGTTAAGCAGGGAATTTTATACCAAAAAAAAAAAAAAAAAAAACCCACAACCCAACAACAAAAACCACCATTCAGCACAGGAAAAGATATAAACAGTTCTGCACTTTTCTTGAATGTTAAAAATCTCACGGGAAAATACCAGCAGTACCACAGACCAGGCTCTGAAAAGGGCATTTCTACTGGCACCGGAGGTCGAGTATGAAAAGACAAAATCCTTCTCTGACTGACCCTGACATATCTGGGGTGGCCGCTCCTGCACTTCCAGGAGCAACACAGAGCAAACTGTTCTGTTCTACACTGTCTCCCCATCAGTGGTTCTTGAGAGAGGACAAAATTAGGACTGCAGGGAGGGAGGGAAAGAGGGAGAAGGGAAGGAAGACGGAAGGCAGGAAGGAAAGGTATAAGCTTCATCTTCTGACAGTATTTCCTAATTCTCTAAGAGGCCCATCAGCAAGCCCCATCACCCTGCTCTGTGAGCAGTGGCTGCCCAGCTAGGAGCGCCATGTGCTCCACAAGCTGAGGGAAGCAAGAAAGATCCAGTTCACATACACCCCGGCCCTGCCCAGCTAGGAAGAAGAGTCCTCCCTGCACACCGAGGACTAGTTCTAGATCCCAAGCGTTTCCGTGTGGAGAAACAAAGTCCAAATTAGTGTCTTATTCGGCCTCCAACGTTCCTGCTCCTCTAGACCAGCACCCCTGGCCGGTGATCTGCCCGGGGCTTCTTCTCTGCCTTTTGTGTTTCTGAGCTGCTTGCTGGTTTTTCACTCAAGTCCACCTGGGCCCTTCTGAATGACAATTCAAAACGTTGACTGCTCCCAGTTAAAGCAGAGATCTGACCCAGGCCATCCAGCCTTGAGTCTGACTAAAATCCCACATCAACCTGGAAACCTATTTCAGCACCACAGAGACACAAACCCCTCAGGTGGTGGCGAGTCCTCTTCCAAGATGCAGTCTCCTAAGGCTGTAAGAGGAACAGAGCTGCCACCACCGAGTAGACAACAGCCCACCGCGACCCTACCCTTCCACATCTGCTTGCTCCTTCCAGGCTGCTACTTAGAGAAAATGTGGTTTTGTTTAAATAAAATAAGGCACTCTGAATTCAGAGGGATGACTATAATCTTATCCCGTCAATGTGCACCTGAGGAAAACCACCCAAAGGCGTCTATATTTCCGGGGCCCACACGCTGGTTAGAGCTGTTGCTCCTGAGTCACCTCCATTATTTCTGTCCCAAATGGAATGTGCTGTCAGAGCTTCCTGAACTTAACATAGCCGCCGAACCCAAAGCTGACAGCTCCAGGCATTACAGTGCCCCACCATCTGAACCACCTCCTCACAACCAAGAGAGCTCTGTCTGGTGGTGTCCCTGCTCCCTGTGGTGAAGTGACAGCCAGGTTTCATCGCCGTGTACACATCAGAGCGGACCCAAGGAAAGGCTCTCCTCCAACTGCTCTTAGCAAAGACTCATATGCTGTTTTTCTTTTCTTAGGCTTCAGGTCTTGATAAACAAAGATTGGGAGCATCTAGCAATTACATTCAAAACATTGAGAAAAACAAGCATCAGGGTTTGTAACTTACCAGGTTTTTTTCCTAAACTCCCTGTTTTCCCAGCAGTTCCAGAGCCCTTAAAACAGAGCAAAAGGTCTCATTTGCATACTGCAGAGTTTTGGTCATGCAACTTAAAAAAACGATCAACGATGACACAAACCCGCTGGAGCCCCTACATCCCCCTTCTCGTTCTGGGCAAACACAGTCACATCGTATCTCCCGGCATGAGGGTGTCGAGCAGGAAAACAAGGGACAAATAAGTACTGAACACATATAGCTTGGACTCTCTTCCATGGAGGCAAAGTAGCCAAGTATATGGCACTGCAGGACCCAGGCAGCCTCTGCCCCGGTCAGATCCAGCTGGGTGCACCCTGGGACAAATGAGTCTCCGTCCTAAACGCTAAGCTGATGCCTTATGTCCAAATGGTTCATCAGGGACTGGTTCACACACACAGAAAGTGCAGACTGCAATACCCAGAGATTTTGATACATTAAAATAGTAGTATTTTTCTACACTGGCTTTAGCACTTTTTTCTTTTCAGAGACTGCAATAGGACAGTGACGATTCCAGCACCCTTCCCCCTCACTCACCCTCTACCTGAAGAGTCTGCTTCACCCAACTCTACAGTGTTGAGACACTGAAATGGCTCGACTTCCACCCAGGCTGGGAGCATCACACAAGAGCAGACCATATTTTCCCCCAACTATGAAGAGCTTCCAGAACCCCTGGGCTTGAATTCTTCTCATGGACACACGTGAAATTTTAAACCAGCTGGTAAATCAACAGAGACCTTGAGAGTCAGGACAGGGGCCAGACTCGTCTGTCGTTACAAAGTGCTTTCTTCTAAATTAATTTTCACCCATGAGTCCCCATCTTGCAGTAAATGAAGCATTCCAATGAAAACAAAGCCAAAAGCTTAATAAACTAAATGAGAGTGCTGTAAGAATAAAAGCATGTAATTTATCTACCAGGAACACAACTTATCAGAGTTCTTTTGTTTTGGTTATTGAAATTTAATAACCATTTATCAGGGAAAGTCTGAGTTAAAATTTTGACTCGGAGCATGATTTCTGTATTATACAAACAGAGCTGCACAATACAAATCTCCTTGTTATTTTTATAGGCTGTGTATCAAAATAAAGGAATACCAATGAAAGAAGATTCCAGCTGATCTGTGACTTTCCCAGTGCAAGCTAGCAATACACTCCCTGTATTCCATGAAAAGAACAAAGCAACTGGCAATCGAGAAGCTTCAGTATGCTCCCTTTTAAATGCCACAGCCAGCACTACAAGCTAAGACCTCCTGGGAAGACCAGATCTGGCCCAGCACCCCTCAGAAATATAGTAGAAAAGCTGCCCCAGGCTAAGAGCCAGCCCTTCTCATAGAAGTATCGAGGACTGGACAACCTCTCCCAAGCCCGCAGGGCAATCCTGTATCTGAGGCTGGGTTAGGTTTATAAATTTCACAGGATATTTTCCTTGATTTCTATGTCCAAGTAGGAGGAAAGAGGAGACTTCTTTTTCTTCATTATTATGAAATAATGTAGCTGAATGTTTGTCCAAAACCTTTAGCACTGCTAGCTCTGTGGCTAATAATTTAAGACTGTGGTTAAGAAATCACCTTACAACACAGTTTAAGTTCACAAAAAAGTCAGTGTATTTTTTTTTTTTAACTTAAAGACTTGGGATGTTTTTAGTAGGGAGCTATAAATTATTAAAATATACTGTAAGCAATAATTTTGGGGTTTTAACTGATCCAAAAGGTAAAAGTCACTTTAAGCATGGCTTGTGCACAGCAGTAAACATCGAGTGTAATTTTCCCTCACCCCCATCAGGCTCCGACTGACTGGCAGGACAGGAGCTTCATTTTTTCCCTCCCCAGGTCTGCAGAGATCTCCCCAGGACAAAGGACTTTCTTCCCGCTAGATTCCCAAGGCAGGCAGACTTACAGCAAATCCCTCCAGGGGATCTCGGAGAGCTGCTCCCCAGAACACAGCAAGCAAAAAGAAAAGCCACCACCCAAAATGACACTCCCTAGAAAAACAAACCCAGCAAATACAACAGTCCCTAGGCAGGACAGGGGAGAAGCCAGGGTAGAACGGGGAACGCCAGCAGCACCAGCCAGTGGCACCAACAACAAGTCTGCAGGCCTCGGCTTTGCAGATGGGCCCAACACCCTCTGCCTGGCATTTAAAGGAGAGTGCATGAGAGCTTATCCACCTGACTACACAGGAAGACTACACCTCCTTGGGTCCTTGTTACCTGCCTCTCCTCTCTGCCAGGAGGTATGAGAATAAAGACAATAACTAGAGTTGATTACCTACGCTTTACCAAAAAAAAAAAAAAAAAAAAAAAAAGCCAATTCCTATTGCAGGTTTATATACGGGCAATGGCTCTGTTAAATGATTACATTGACAGCCTGAACTTCCCCACTACCTTGAAATTGGCCAGGGCAGACCATACTTGGGCAGGCCCAACTATCCCCTTTCATTAACCTTGCAAATGATATTTTAGCCCCCCATTTATTACAATGGGGGTTGTTTCCAGTTTATACAGATAATAGCATTTAGGGCAAATTTAGTCCCTAGTAACAGAGCTCCTAAGGCCTGGTCAAATGTGCCTTATCTCTTTGAGTCTTCCTATGATGTTGGCAAAAGTATAAATTTCCAAAACACTCTACTACCCGATATGCAGAAGCCAGTATTATCAAAACACTTTTGTTAACATGGGCACAATCTCACACTGGTCCTATCATGGGGTATCTCAAATCAGCGACCAGGAGGACTGAATCAAGGAAGTTTGTCCCAAATCGTAAGGCAGTTACATGCAGGAGCCTCCACGTGGCCCCAGGGAGGTCTCCTGGTGGTGGTGGGCGGGGGGGCTGGACGGGGTGGACGTCCAGGCTCACCCTGTAGCACCGAATGACAAGTGCAAACAATTACAGGTCATACTATATTCGCTGTCACATTCCAGAACTTAGCAAAACCCAACGAAGTATTCCACCTTCAGATACTGTGACTCCCCACAAAGGGAATCACTGGACAAAGAGGGAAAGGAGACAGTTAATGTGGGTTTACCTCTGAATCTTTAAGCCTCACATAGTTAGAAGGGAAGACTCCGGACTTGTCGCCCACCGTTCCTGTCCACCAGTCACCATCTTTCTTGGTAACCAAAATCACATCCCCTTGCTGAAAGGTTAAATCGCCTTGCTCAGAACTCTCGTAAGTGTACATGGCAATAAACTCTGGTGGGGAGAAATATTGAGATATGGAGAGAGCTTGATTGTTTACAGAATTCCCAGACAGCTTTTTGCAAAAGCAAATTTATGAATAAGGAAGTTAGGATCAGATCTATTCAAGAGAAAGGCTAGTCGCGGATAAAATACAGGGTTGGGGAACAGCTGGGCTCCAAATTCCCCAACTGCACATAAAAATTCAGTCACTGCAGGCAGGGACACCATTCCTGGGAAGACCAGGCATCAGAACAGAACCCCAACACTGAGCACCGACAGACATCTGTGCTTCCCATCAGGGCTTCCTTTTTAAATAAAAATGCTGTTTATGTTTACTTTTAACTCCCAGTTACTGAGTAGCGATGGCAGGTTGAGCTCTGGGCTAGATGCAGATGCACTTACAGGCAGGCTTTTGGTGCAGATCAAATACCTGTGTGTCAGTTTTGAGAGCACCAACTCACAGTTTTAGGAAACTTTAAGCTCTAGTAAATCCTTCTGCACATTAAAGCAGCCATATTCCGCACAACTCAAGTGCCTGAGTGCAAACTCATGTCCTATTGCGCCACATGCACAGATGGCAGGAAGTTACTAGAACACAAAATAAAATATACATTCTTTAGTTAAAAACAGGTATCTCCTTGTCATTCAAGGGCATGAACAGGTAGAGTGGACTGAGGAGGAAGGCAGAGTTCACCGCATCCCAGAAAATGACCAAGTCTTTCTGAACAAGTTGAGATGACAAATCAGTCTCTCATATTTTTCATGCAATTTGATCTCAAAGGATAAGAACTGATGTTCTTTGCTGTCTTGCATGTGGAGGGTGTACATTCCAGAGGAAATCTTTCTTTCTCATTATAAACAGCTGTTTGTACTAAGGCTTAGAACCATACCATACTTCCGGCAAGATCACTAGACACTGGGATAAAAGATTTCCCTCCATTTTTATCTTAAGCCTTTTATATGTTTTTTTTTTTTAAAGAAATTTTAAATAAATCTCCATTGACCCAAAAAGTTCATTTTTATGTGTGTTTTTCATTAAAACTTCAGAGAATAGTCCTTCCATGCAGAGTCTAATGTTAGTTAGGGCTGAAATGTAGAAGGAAGAGATCCTTTGGTTAATTACAGGAGCCTCTGCAGGAGGCCTAACAAAAGCTAAAATAAACATACATACAAACACACACACGCACGCACACGCACACACACACACACACACCCACCAACACTCACGCTAGTGGGCAACACGATAATGTGAGGGACTCCCTGTGGGGCTGTGTCACCTCTGGGGGTGCTGACCCCCAGGCTGAGGCCACTGTGACTAACCACAGGGACAGTGCTGGAACCCACACCAAACACAGCGTGATCCAGTGGGTCAGGGAGGACAGAAGCCTCTCTGTCTTTGCCCTGTGCCGCTAGTAACACACACCTTCACAGTTAAAACTGGAAACTGAGTTCCCACACAAGGAAAACAGAGTCGGGCACTTTCACAAGGACACTCCTGTGAATATATCCCTTTTCCTGATTTCTCAATCTTCCGACCCTTCCCTTTTCACTGTTCCCTTTTCACTGGTTCCCAAGCTCATGTTTGGCCATTTAAGACAGGGTCCTCGGCAATTCAAACTTGCCCTGAGATTTCCTACACTTTAAAGCTACTGTCTTTAAAATGAATCCAAAGTTCGAAGTAACTTTCAAAATACTTAAGAAACTTCAGAAGCATGAACTCTGGCTGAACTTATGCCTGCAGAATAAGATCACAGGGGACTGGAAAGGCTGCAACTGGACTTGCCCTGCTGGGCACACAGCTCTGCGAGGCCAGCGCGGGATCCAGTGATTCCCAAAGATGGGAGGGGGGATACAGGGGACCCCACACCCCTCAGACCCCCTTCACAGGACATTTAACAGAGGGCACTGGCTGGGCCCAAGCGTAGGCTTGAAGAGCTGCCTATTTAACCTTTAATTTCATTTATGGTCTAATTTTAACCTTGATTGTGCCTAACACAGTATTAATAAGCAGCTCAATAGCTGCCAACAGCTTTTCTCAGAATTCCAAATGCCAATGTCCTCCCCACAGTGCTTGGGAAAGCCAGTTATCTTTCCTAATATTTCTAACGCTGAGTCATTTCAAAATGGATGGAATAAATGTCCACTAAAACTAGAATTTAACTCTCTTTTGTGGTCCCGTTTTAAGGATGTGTGTGGGTCACCTGTGATCTATTTATGGGGCCTCAAATGTTGAGGCCCCTGTATATATTTCCAAACAAATCAATACTCATCAGCCCTGCTGTTAGAGGAGATTGCTCACTGCTTTCAGCCTGTCAATAACCAGGAGACGAGGCCAAAGGGAAACAAGAACAGCCCCTTACACACACATACACACACACACACACCCTTCCAATGAGCTGAACTGAATTTTGGGGCGGGGAGAGCTCATAATTTGCCTTATGCGACAGAATGCAGGTGCTGTTTTTAAAGGTGCTTTTTGCCTTGTTCTCCTAGCAGAGGATACAAAAGTCATTAAAATAAGAAAGCATGAATAGCTAAGCTAAAGATTAGTTGGGGGGGGGGCGTAAGAGCAAACTCTGCATGCAATAAAATGCTAGATCTGTTTAGTGAGGACAAGGTTTTAGAGATACACCGATAAACTAAAAAATTTTTTTTTTACTTTCTAAAATTCCTCTTGAAAAAGTAACTTTGCGAGTCTGAAATACCATTATATCTTAATCCTTGATGTATCCATGCAGGGAAACGGTTCTAATGTTTTTCTTTCTCAGGAGGCAAGGTTTCTTAAGAATGCAACCATCTCATAATGGCACACAAATTAAATAAAACATTCTCTGTTCACATAGTTTATTCAAGGAACCCATGAAAACTTACTATATAATTGGGTGGCCATCTGCTAGCTACAAACACTGCTCAGACTTCTCCAGCAAAGCCTGTCTGCCCCTGGCAGCGCTCTGCTCCTAGTGTTATAAAGACTCAAGTGAATGGAGAAAAGACAGAAATTCCCACCGTTAGAGCAGGAATGATGTGGGTTTGTTCATTTTTAAATCCATGCCATATATCAGGATATAGTCCTTGGGACCATGATACAACATAAAGTCCAGGAAATAAAGCAATTAATTGTGTCACAAACACTCAAAATGAAATTTGCAGGTCTAAATAATCTGCTTAGGGTATTTATTGGGAACACAGGAACTGAACTTCTGCTTCGTTTGGGCTGTGCAGATGGCACCAAGGCTGCTGTGGCAGCTTTTCGAGACTGTGTGGTTATGGTTTTGAAACAAAGCACTTATCTGTAACTCAGAGAAGAATAGGTGATGTTAGGGAAAGCAGTGTCCACAATTAGCTATGAAGAGGTTCAGAAAACTGGATCCCCAGTGACGTCAATGGGCCTCTTTGATAAGTCAAAGGGTGCATAATCAACTACTGGAAAATTCAGTTTTTAAAATCGATCTATGTGACAGTATTTTGAAAGTCTCCTCAAAGTACTTTGATTTTGTAAAGAGCTCAATTTTCATTTTACCTTACAGCTTAGTATCCTGAAGCTAAATTGATGCAGTCGCTTTTAAAATGAAATCTGATCTTGGTCCAGCATTCACCTTGCCTAGTTCATCCCTGCTCGCCCCGTGCAAAGAACACAGTTGGACTCAGGTTCTCACCTTCTCCGGAAACAGCTGGCTTGGCTGCTGGGGAAGCTACTCTCTTTACACTAGCAGGACTTTCTGAGGAGCCAGAATCCATGCTGAAAGAAAGGGAAGGGGAGGAAGCATTTTAATTTTTATCTTAAATAGTACAGCCGACATTGATTTTTCACTTTTAAAACGGTTTAACATTTAAAATTTTAAACCATCTACAGCTGAAATAGCTGCCCTTGGCTAAGCTGAAATGGACAATGAGGTGCGAGAAGGGTGATTCTAAGCTCACATTCCTGTTTTCAGACCTCACGATGCTGGGTACACAGCCTAAGGGCTGATCTGTTTCAAAGCATGACTGATGGATGCTCATCAGTGTTCCTGCCGTTGGTACCTTCGTAAGGTTCATAATGTGTTTCGAACACGTTGGGGTAATTACACAACCACCTAGTTAAGGTGCCATGTGTAACAGTCCCTAATGAAAAAGATAATTCCTTCTTCTGATTGTTTCCCCAGTTGCTCTGGGCTTCTAAATTCCTGGCACAGTACTGGGGGCTAAGCATGAAGAACGGCATAATCACCAATAAACCCACAAGAGTGTTCCAGGTCTCAAGTGGGATTCTCTCTTGCAAAGCCAATGAAAAAAAAAAAAAAAAACCCACACCGAGAGACTTCCCCCAGGGAAGAAAAAATGATCATTTGGGTCTGTAAGCGGCTCCCTTCTTGCTGACCTGCTACACTAAATTTTGCAGACAACGGAATAATCTGCAGCTCCTGTCTGCGAATCTTAATTAGAGCAAACAATCATCTAATGCGTAACAGCATTCTCATCTCATAGAAGCAGATAAATGCAAAAATACCTGGTTGATTTCCTTATGGGCCCTGATATGAGTTTCACGTAAGACTTGGGGAACCAACCCTTCTGACCTTGAACTTCTCCAAACCACCACATGTCTTGCTGTTCCAGCACGGTGATGACATCATTTTTGTTAAAATTTAAATGGTTGTCTTTTTTGGCTCTCCAGGGATACAGCGCTTGTGCTTGTAGCCCCTCCACCTTCTCACCCTTGTGGGAATAACACAAACGACCTTGCGTTACTTCGAGGGGCACAAACGGGGGCACGTCCTCTCTAACACGCACGCGCATGCACACCGCAGCGGGGCCTGTGACAGCAGGGGCCAATGTGCTCCACAACTGTCGACAATTGACCCTTGACCCACAGGGAAGTGAAGGGCCCCAGTCCCAAGCCGTGGAAAACCCACGTACAACCTTTGCTTCTGCAAGAACTTAACTGCTGACAGGCTGCGGGTGACTGGAGGCCTGGCTGCTGGGCTGTTTACACTTCTGTCCACGGCAGATGCCAGTGCGTACAACCTCACAGTAGCAGGGTGCGTTTTGATAAATTTGAACTTTTTATAATAGAGGTGTGTTTTTTAAGGTAGGAAATGATAAAATAGATTTAGCTGCATGTATTTTATGCATTCAGGATAAAGGTAGCTTTTAATTTGGAGGGTATTTCTAGGTCATGCAGTTTGCAAGTTTTTTCAAATTGTTGCCAATCTCAAAAAAAAAAAAATTTCCAATATATTAACTGACAAAAACCTGCATGGAAGAAGACCTGTGCCCTCCAAGCCCAGCTGCTGAAGGGTCAGGTGTATTTCCGCAGGCAGAGGTGAAAGCCTGCCAGTCTGAGAACAGGGCCGCCCAGAACTCCCCATAGAAACCAGCCAGGAGGTCACACTGACTCCAGCACCCGGTTCCTTTAATGCCCAAGTTACCAGGGCCCCCCCACCCCACACACACTGCCTGTTTCCAATCTGATCTGGAAGCTCAGTGGAAGATTAATACTGGAGCAGAAATCTTAAGACACCTCAAAGGAAAACGAACTATGCCCGGATTGGACTGTGTCCAGTTCCTTTTCAGAAAGACAGGGGTTTACTTGGCAACACTGACTGTACATCTACGTGCAAGGCACTGGGGGGTCACGAGAGATGAAGAAAACACCATCTCTATCTCCCCAAAATCACTTGGATAAGACACTTTATTATTAAACATAAAGGATTAGAAAATGCAACTGTCTGCTATTAGTAGCAAAGATCACAATTCATGGGGAAGAAAGAGATCCAGACAGCCATGTCTACCACCCAGCAGAATGAAATACACCAAGAAGAGGTCCCCCCCAGGCACTCTGGGGACAGAGAGAAAAGAGGGGTTAGCTCTGCCCAAGGGCGATGGGGACAACTGCACAGCGGAGGCAGCATATGGGTTGGGCCTTGAAGGACGAGGGAGGTTTTGGTAGCTAAGGCTTCGGAGGAAGGGCACGCCAGGCCGAGGGCACAGCACAGGCCAAGGATCCAGGAGGAGGAGCGCAATCCAGGGGTGAGTGTAGCCTAGGCTCACGGAGGGATGAAGGAGGAACAGAGGCTGGAAAGGCAGGAGGAAGCATTTATTATTTTTCCAAAAGCTGTAACATAAAACCATTCCTATATCTTAAAACATTGCTAAAAAGTACAACAATGTCAACGTTCAGTCCTGTTGGTACGTGAACAGGAGGCGAGACTAATGCCCCAACACAGTTCAGGAACCACTTGTACTTGCCTGTAGGAGGCATTTGCATATTGACATTGAATTATGGTGACGCCTGACAAAAGAACTTAAGGTGGGTCAAACAGCTTCAGCATCCATGGTGATCATTTCTGAATTCTGGCCTCTGCGGTTCTCACCTTCTTGAGCCTACAGCATCCCTGGTGCCTTTCATTTGGACTCTACACCCCCTCAAGTCCTGGGACTCAGGAGGCTGCCGGCACAGATGGTCTTGGCCTTCCATCCCCCCGCCCACTAGCGGGGCACCCACACCTGGTGCTCACAGGTCTTTTGGGCTTCTGTGCTTCCAACCTCTTGGCCATTCCATTTATTTTTCTACCAAGAATGGACGTGAGGGTGAGACACTTCCACTGGGCCCCCACTGGTATTTCAGAGTCTCTCGCCCTGAGAAATCCTGCCCGTCTCAACCATCTTCCCACACGGATGTGCCTGAATAACCCAACCTGGGTCAGTCAGAACATGGGCTCCAAGTCTGAATCTCAAATGTGTCCCTTGATAATTTTGTGACCTTGGGCAATTGTTGAATTTCTCTAGGCCTTGGTTTCCACATCTGTAAAGTAGACTTTCCTCAGAGAGCTGCTTTGAAATGTCATCCGATCTATCCCTGGTGTTGCTCTGAGTGACAGACAGAACGTAGGGTAGCTTATTGCCCCATGCCTGGCTGTGCCCGTGCCCGGCTGTGCCCATTGCCCAGCTGTGAAGTGTCACTGGGAAAAGCTAAGATGGCGTGCAAGGACCAGCTAGAGATTCAGGTTAAACTCAGTCAAGCAATTCTGCGCTCTTCTTTGAAGGACTGCAACTTGCATGCTGCACGGTGCAGGTCTTGAGGACAGAGCTCAGCCTCAACTGCCCTCCTTTACCCTTCTCCGAACTCTCTTCACCGCCTCTTCCAGAAGAAAATCCTCTTCTCCTCTGAGCTGTGCATGTTGCTTCCCCGACACTGAGGCTGTTCTCTGACATTTGACTTCTCACTTCCTCTCTCCCCTGGCAACTTGCTTGGCTCCTGCCTTCCTCGGAGCCCTCCCTCCACTCCGCTCCTTCTTTTCTCTCAGGCATCTTTCCACTTTCTCACTAATCCCTTCCTCTCCCCCCACCCCGTGCCATCTGCCGTCCCCTGCCAAATGGTCTCTCTTGTGCCCCCGGCCACCGCCTCCACAGACCACCACCTCCAACACCGGGAGCACCGCCACGCCTCTCTGGGCCCAGCCCCTCCTCCCCGGCTCTCCTTGCTGCAGAGGCTGAGACGAGCACTAGCTGCTGAGCCAGGATGGACCGAGGGGAGCAGCTCCTCCGGCCAGGTGAGGGCTGCTCCTTTGCTTCCAGGTCACAGGATGCACATGCCCTGTGCGTTCCCACTTTCTCCCCACATTCTTTCTCCCTCAGAGAGCTCCTGAGGAGCATGTTTCCTTAGGAGCTCATCCCCGTGGCCTGGCTCTTCCTCACCTCTGTGGATGTGTCCCTTCCACTTGAAATATAGCCCACCTAAAACCAAGGCTCCGCTCCCACGAGGAAACAGTTTCTTCTTCAGGTCGGCTCTTCTCAGTCCCAGACCTCTCGCCTCTCTTTCTGCTCCCACAGGCCTTTTCACGACCCTATCCTCTAACTGGCATCGCGGCCCTCGTGTGCCCCCGGAACCTGCCAGCGCACAAGCGCAACCCAGCTGTCCTCGGGTTGGAAATGGTGCTGGCCCCAGGGCTACCAGGTGGGCATCTGCCCTTGGTTTGATTGATGATAGAAATTTCATCCCCTTATCTTTACTGTAGTAAATAAAAGTGGAAACATTCAGAATAATCACCTCTGTACTTCCAGAAATCACTCCCTCTGAGCAGGGCGTGGAAAGCTTCCCGTTCACCTGCAGTGAGCCTGTCTCTGCCCACGCATACTCAGCGGGTTAGCCAAGTGGACCGACCCCCGATGCTCTCTAAACACACTCCGATTTCCTGCCTCTCCCTATAGCACTCGGCCTGACATGCCAGTCCTCTCCACTTCCTAAGTGCCACCTTCCCCACTGCTGGAGGTGCAGTTCAAATGCCACTTCTTCAGCCAAGCTGCCCTGACCCACCCCTTCCCCCAGTGGGAGCGGAGCCTCCTTGGAGCTTTCACTTGCACCACCTACTCCAGGCTCCTTAAAGGTCACCAGGAAATGTGAATTGGATCCCGCTCTGCCTCAGACACAGACACTGAGACTTATGTCCAAGCGACACGTCAACAAGCATCTGCTGTGTTTCTTGAGACACCAGAGCACGCCAGGCCTTAACACGCCCCCCGCTGTTTTTACCTGGCCTAAGACAGGCGACGGCGAGGAGCCAGTGGCCGTGGCTGGGGTAAAGGCCGATCTCTGCCGTAACTGGCCAGCACTTGGCACAGTGAGAGAGGGCTGGGCTGCCCACGCGTCCCAGTTATCACTCTCTGCTTTCTCGTTGGTGCTCGTGGGCCACCTGGAAGGAAAAGCAGGCCACCATTAGTAGCAGGGACCGGCTGACACGCCAGCTTTACACTCACAGTAAATGCAAACCCAGAGCACGTGGGGGCTTTCAGAAGAGCAAGAACAAGGGGGAGCGGCGAGAGCACTGGACGGGCATGGGCGTCTGTGCCCGCCCTCAGGCAAGTGAGCAGAGTCGCTCTGAACTTGGATTTCCACATTGACCAGCTGGGGACCATGTTCTGCCTCTCTGGGTATATCGTGAGGGTTATAAAAATACTGGCATGGGAAACACATGCTAACTCAGGAGTAGCAGAGAAACACCCTCACGTGACCACCACTGTCAATGGTAATAACAATCAGCAAAAAAGAAGCAACACACCACCTCTGAAGCCACCAGTGTGGCGGCCACACCCCGTCTCTGGCACTCTCCCTCACACCACCAGTGCCCGGCCACATCCTGGACCTGGGGGTGGTTTTCATTGGCAGATGTTGGTAATTTTAAATGAACACATCTGTGTGAATGCAGATCTAAGTGCAGTTTGCTTTTTACATCACGAACAAATTTGAAAAGCAAAGTAATACTTTGGTCAGCCTGCATGCCCCGATTTTGGGATTGGAAAATAAGAAGCCTGAGATTCTGGCAGGTCGCGCTGCACACCATACATTTATGGAGGGAGGGGTCCACCCACTGAGCCACAGAGAAGCAGAATCCTGGGACACGTGGCATTTGTCTTCGATTTTAGCCTGAACATCAGTTTAGAAAGTTAAAACTTTTTGATCAAGAACGAGAGATGAAGGGAGAGTTCAACTTGGAATCCTGCCGAGGAAAGGCTACTTTTAAAGCACAGAGTAGCGAGGGCCTCTGGCAACACTTTCAACCTTTTATAAGGAAACCTAGTCTGGAAACCCTGCTGTTCCTCACACCCATCCCTCCACCTGCTCCTGCCCTTGGCTGGGACGCTCCTTTCTTTCCGCTGACCCACCTCATCTTTCTCCAGCTTTACGTTTTGATTCCCTGCCCTCAATTTGCTTCTTGTGCAAGATGATTACACTGGAAAAATAATTCAGAACATTTCAAGTCACTTTCCCTTGGACGCTAGTATAAACTGCTTTTAGACATGGCCTCCCAGATCACGGACCCAGAGAGTGACGGCGGTCACCTCTCCTCTCATTCCAGACCTCCACTTTCACACTGCTTCCTGCTGACCAAGGCCACATATGCACAGCTCCTCACTCCCCCGGTCATTTGTACAAGGCTGATGAAAGAAGCACACATTAAAGGAAACAGCTATCTCATCCCTAAACACATGACTGAATTCATGTCCTCTTTCTGTCCAGACAAACATGCAGGAAGGGGCTCTGAATATGTGCTGACTGATGTGGGTGTTGGGCAGTGTGAGGAAACTGGGTTTCTCCATTTCTTCCACAAAAATGAAAGATACAGACAAATTATGGAGCAAAACAAGGTATCAGGCTTTATTTTGTACCAGGGCGAAGCACTGAGGAGCAAGGATAGAGTTAAATCCAGTTCAGAGGAGGCAACCCAGCACTGGCAGCACATGGGCCAGCTCCTGACGCAGAGCAGAAACCCCAACTACAAAAACATGCAGAGGAAAAAAAATAAAGGTTATTAACTTGGGGTCTCACGAGTCATCAGAAACAGCATGCCTAACGTACGTGGAGCTGAAGTCGGCCCAGTTGTTGGGGGTCGTGGAGGGCTCAGAAGAGGTCACAGCCAGAGGAGCGGGGGTCTCGCGCAAAGCCAGCTTGGGTGCAGGGGTGGAGGCGGCGTCCGCCACAGGTTTCACTGGAGCAGGAACCTCATTTTCTGGGATTTTCTCGGCATAGTTTGCGGGGAACCAGCCTGTCTTGCCTTTTAACTCTCCTCCAAGCCATCCCGGTTCTCCAGTCTGGCTTTCGTCCACCTGCAGGAGATGATGGGGTTTAGTGGGAGCCGCACTAAACGAGCCCGTGAAGACACCCAGCCCGCCGCGCATCTAAGCTCCCGCCTCGGACTGCCGGCCTGCTGCCCTGCAGAGACGTTCCTCCCGCACATTCTGAGTCTAGGTGTCTGGGAAGAGCGCTCTAAACACTAACTCTGAAACAACAGTGGGGGCTGTAATTCAAGGCCTTATAACTCTGTGCTTTCTTGGGTTTTTTTTTTCTTCTTTTTCTAATAATAGCAGTTAAGATAAAGTGCCTAAGACTAAAGGCCCACGGCTTCAATAGTCAGAGCTATTCGAATTAACAGACAGACAGACTTCGTTACTTACGAAGTCATCATATTATTAAAAATAATCTGTCCTGGGTTTGTTACAAACAAAGGGTGTAATCAACATAAATTTAGTACTCTAAAGATCTCTAGTAACTAAGCAGTATTTATTCAGTGTCAGGACAAGAAAAGATTTTAAAAAACAAAACAGCCTCAGACGGTTTCTACAGCAAAGCAGGAAGCAAAGCTGAGGGCTGTGTTAGGTCATCAAAAACTCTAAGACACATGATGAGAAAATTGAGGAAGATTATTTACAACAATTTTATGAGGGTCCTATAGTGTTTCTGTGTATGTATTGAACTTTAATTTCACAAAGTACATGAGAATACGGAATTCTCCTGTTTAAAAATGTCACAGAGGCTGTGCCTTACACCAAGGTCTCCTAATGTTTCTATTTTATTTTTCTTCTGATGCAAAAGGCTCATTCAAATCACCAAAATGATTCTACTTATCTTGACAAGCTAGTCCCACTATTTTATGGGCAATGAGAGAATGATTTTGGAGCACAATTACATTTACAATTACAAAATCATTTTCATTACTATAAATTAAATAAGGGTTTATCAGAGACCTTATTTTTATTTCCCAATATGCTGGGAAAATGTCATGTTCCTAATCCATTCACATATTCAGGTTAAAAAAATAAACAAAAGCAAACATCTGTATTCATAGAGTAAGTACTATAGTATAAGGTTTATTTTGGCTTGTGGGAATCAAAAAATGCTTGGCATGGGGGTGGACATGGCCTACTATTGAATACAGTAAGCAGGGGACAATCCCTTGCTGTCCTACCATAGGGAAGCCTTATTGTCATGAAGAAAGCAGTTTTGAAAGCTGAGAATTCTCCAAAGAGGACTTCCCCGAGATAAAGTGCAACACTGCTCCCCGGGTTCTATTTCTGGCTTTGCAGTTCTGTTATTCCCGCTCACACTTCTATCAGATGTGAACACATTAGCCACTTTTCATTCAACTCCCCCACATTGTTTTGTTCTTACTTTACTTTTTCTGGGCAGCCCCAACTGTTCCCTAGATGAGCATTTAAGATGACATTTTCTTCCTTGGATCTTATTTTATGCTAGGCCTAAGTGGCCGGATGCCTGTCCTTCATTTATATTGTTGGTGATCTGGGGACACAATTTAACAGTTGCTTTGCACTGAAAACATGGTCACTTTCAGGCCAGGGGTAGTGAGGGCCACTACCACTCTCCCCTCCCTGACTCCCCGGAGATCCTACAGCTAAGCTTGGGGTCTTCAATTCAAAGGTGTTGTCAAGCAGGTGTGAGCTAGGAGCTTGCACCACACACCCAAAAACTCAGCCCAGAAGCTGCAAACATCAAGAGTGAGGCTCTGCTGTCAAATTGCCACTATTTAAACACTAGATCTACATTTATTCTCTGGTTGACAAAGGGCAGCTGAATCTCCTGGCACCTCAGCTGCTTTATCTATAAAATGGGAATAATGCATCGCGTAAAGACAGGGCTCAGTGTGGGAAGGTGATTTCGTTGTGCGCGAGCATCAGAGTGTATGGACACAGCATGTGTACCTGGTCTGTCGTTGGCCCAAACTGCGGGATGCAGCATGACTCACAGTCCCTGTCTCAGCAGTTGTTGTGATGAAACTGGAACAGTGCCCAGCAGAGAGGTGTCTCATGATAGACTTCACTAAGCCGCCTCTCTTGTACCAGCTATCACTTCTATGCTGTCGTCTCATCTGAGCTTTTGTCCTGTTCTAGAAGCCTGGTCTTTGCCTCACTTTAGGTAACAATCTCTGGTTCTCTGTATTCAGGGGTTGTCTGCTCTAGAAACTTGTCTGGTGCCTTAGGTCCTCTGGCTTCACCTTCTCACCAGTAGCAATCTCTCAGGAGCTGGAGTTCGATCCCAAACAGAGCCTACTGCTCTGTCTGAGTTACATCTTCTCACACGTCAGTTGCTTTTTTTAATGGATATCCTATGATCTGTCATTGCCCTGAGACACAGGGTCTTACCTGGTTAACAAGACTTTTGGTTGACACCTAGAATTGGATCTGAAGCCCTAAGGAATGTCTCAACCTATGGGCAGGTCCAGCTGACACCACAGTAACTGATTACACCCCCAGCCCTGCCCCCACCAGGACAGGATGCAGGCTGCACCTCTGCCAGGTGCTTGTTTATATATGAGGAAGGGAGAGGGCGCTACTTCAGCCTCTTATCTGTGCAAACAAGAGCTCCTCCCATGCTTCCCGACAATAGTGAAATCAGCATTTCACTTTTACCCAAGGAAATTCGCTGGTCAACTTTGACCAGACGATAGTCTCAGTGGGTTTGGTTTGGTCTTACAGAAACCCATTAATTTTAATAACTGAATAAACTAATTTTAAAGTTCAGAGGATACAATACAGATTCCTGCTTCACATTAAATGGACTACATAGTAAAAGCACTAGGTTCTCAAATGAAAATGAGAAAAATACTTCTGCTTAGATTTCAGAAACATTACCAAAATACCAATCTGACCATGCGAAAATATTATACCAGATTAGGACAGAACCAGGAAAGCTAGACACCAACCTCCCTGAAACGTGGCTGGCTGTCACATGGACTTTTACCTGTAGACTTTCTCTAAATACAGCACATTCACCTGTGGGGAGCTCTAAGTCTCAAATGTGTAAGTGTTGAAATATTAGGGACACTGGTTTTAACACGATTCTGTGTCACCATCCCCACTGCTTCACCTCGCAGCACCTGCGCCTCTCGGGGCATCTTCAGAGAGGGAAGCCCAAATCCTCTGCCACCCTCTTGGGAGTAGGGTCCCATCTAGTCTAGGAAGCTCAGCAATGACGCTGCACTAGGGACTGACACAGACACACGTGGCAGCGGTCAGGTTCAAGTGCCTGTAGCTGAAGCCTGATTCTACGCTGTCTCTCTAATGTCCACAAGCCTCCCGGCTCCCACCTCCCGGCTCCCACATGAGACAGCACTCATATTTCTAACACCTCTGGCCTGTCACAAAGAAGGAGCAGAAATGGCCTCTCCTCACCAGCCAGACGAAGAACCTAGACAACAAACAGGTTTAAACAGTGACTGACCCGCGAGCACGCACTGCTTCAGGCTGTGCTGGGAGCATGCTATGAGGTTTTCCCCCAAACTCCTGAATGAGGAGAGTAAAAGTTTTCTAAAGTTCAGACTTAGAAGCCGGCAAATTGTTCCCTTTCACTAGTGCAACAACTCAATTCTTGAGCTGTGCGTCCCTTGCTGAAGCAGCCACCTTGCGCAGGGACGCTGGCTGCTCCTGCTTTGCTCTCACCAACAGTGCTGCATGAACACCCATCACATACACCTGTGCATGTACATGTACACATATATTTGCGCCTATGTCTCTGGCCTCCCTAGTCTAGTGGAGGGAAATAACAGGATTTCTGGGTCAAAGAGAACAAGAATTTTAAATCTGAGGAGGCACTGCCAAACTGCCTTCCCAGTGGCTTAGCTAATGCATACAACCACACAGACCAAATATATTATATTCACGTTCTTGACAAAGCTTTGATAATATCCAAACTTTAAAACATGCTCGGGTGAGGAGAAAAGTGCTATCTCATTTTTTACCTTCTATTTTCCTGAGCACCAATGACATGAAGTGTCTTTTCATTTATTTTTTAAAATAATTTACTTCACTTGCAAATGTTTCTTCATAGCCTCAGCCAACTTTTCTAAGACTTGTGGCTTGTCTTCATAGTAACCTTTCATAGTCTTTATGCAACATGAATAGTAACCCTCTGTCTCATGCATTTTGCAATATAGAAATTTTAATTTTTTGTGTGTCGTCAAATCTGTCCATTTTGTTATCTACCACTTCCGGTTTTTAACAGAAAGACATTTCTTAGGCAGAAAATTTTTCCAAAACTCTCCTTCAAAAATATTTGTAGAATTTTATCTTTCAAATTTAACCTACTTGTGGCTGACTTCTGGCGATGGCCTGAGACAGAGAGCTGACATGGTAGCAGGACTCTCACAGAGCAGCCCCTCCACAATGCTGTTTTGTTCTTTCCTTTTTAAGCACAGCCTACTGTGCACGCTCAAAATATACTGTACTGCCATGACAACACCCAAAGATATGTGTACTTACACAGAATTAACATGATTTAAGAAAACAACACATGTAATAAAATGCAGATTCCTGACAGTTGCTCGGCACTTACCCATTCCCCTTTAACCTCCACCAGGAAAGCAAAGGTTTGAAAAGCAAGGCAAAATATATGTTTAATGAAATGTTTTATTCTTACAGCAGATCTCAACTCTATTCATCTAGTCCAGTCTAGTCTCCTGATCAGCCCTTCAATGGGAGGAAAAGTACTCAGTATCACTGTAATGAGACCAGTTTCCAAAATATAGCAACCTTGTTTCATTAAAAGATGGAGCATCTGAAACATTTCCTTATTGTAACATTTGGCAACATTTCCTTATCTTAATTTTCCCCACTTTGTGTTGCAACAAAATTCAGTTTCAAAAACATTACCATTGTTTTTTCACAATGTAACAAATGGCTTAGTGAAGCGCATCTATGGGAAGTCACACCTATTGCCATGCTTTAGATAGCCGCCGTGGGTGGGGCGTGCCTGCTGTGTGACAGGCCAGCCCTGTGAGGGAAGTAGCTTCAGGCCACTAGAAGCAGTCGCCTGGCACTGCCCTGCTGAGTTACCAGCAGTTCTGTCTGTAAGGAATGAACTAGCTGGCCCCAGGCACATCTCAGGCACTCAGCACTAGGCCCTCTGGCCTTTGGCCCTCATTTCTAGCCATGATAACCAGAGACAAAAACTAACAGAAAACAAGAGGAGAGGGGACTGAGCATATTTTGGCCCATTAAATATATTCTATAGAGAGAATATATTGTACATTCTATACAGAGATATGATGTCTGTGTGCAAGATGTATGAGTAAGGGCCCTGCAAAATGCCCTTTGTACTTCATCCTAGAACGAGACATGTCTGTCTTAATTCTTAGCTTTCTTAGTTCTTTTAAGGTTCTGAACCAATCCCACCTTAAAAAACAATGCTAACAACAACGCAAAGTTTGACCACCTCTAAAACTCCTAATATTCAGTTAATAACTAGATCTCTTAGAAAATAATTGAGGTCAATCACACTGCTTTATCCTTTCTTAAATTAGATACTGCAATTTTAGTTACATTTATAAGATTATATGTAATTAGTATTATAATTAAAAAAAACGCAGCCAAGCAAAATTCGGAGCAGTTTCAGCTGTCATTTACAGAGTGGGAACGCAGATGAACTGTATTTAATGCTTTACTTTTCACACAGTCTAAAACTTACACAAATTAAGAGTTTGGAAAAAGATGTTTTCACCCAGACATACAAAAGGTATCAATGGCAATTGTGGAAATGACGATAGAGTACTTTGCATTCAAAGCTATTTCGTACAGGACTGTGCACAGAGTAGAAGTAGTAATCTCGGCTCTAAGATTACTGGACATTTAGATTTACAAATATGCTTAGGCTGCGGTAACACATCTTCTCTAATAACTCCATTTTAAAGTGATATACCATATATTTTTAAATGCCATCTTCATTTAAATGGAAGGAGATTGAACCTCTATGTCAAAGACCCAGATGCTAGGTTATTTGATTATCTGACAAGTACAATAGTTTATCAACAGACATCACACTGTCACCAGAGTCTTTCTTACCATGACTATATCGCCGGGCTGAATGGTGATTTCGTCATGACTTCTGGACTCAAAGGGATACAACGCTCGGTAATACACCACTTTAACATTCTCCTGTGCAGAAAATGTAAGGGGGCCTTTTTCTGTGGACAAAAAAATTGGAGAAAAGGCACAAAAATGTTACATGTAACACAAATGTATGATCACAAGCCAAATACCGAACATCTCCTCTACTGCCTGCCCAACATTGAACTATTTCCATCCATTTAAGTGATTTCTGAAAAGCTTGCCTAATGCCCGAGAGGAGCCAGCGCTGACGCCGCCACTCAAATGCAGAGGTGACTGGAAGACTCTCCGGAACAGGGGTCATCGGATGTCAGCACTATGACCTGTCTCGGTCCCAGTTGCTGCCTCCTGACTCAGGCCCCAGCATCTGCAAAGCAGTGACCCCTCTCCCCACCCAGGGCATTGAGTCACAATGCAGCAGTTAGAACAGGACCCCAAATCTGAATCAGCAAGACTTGCTTGGGAAAAATGAGTCTAAAGACAAACCCTAGATGAGAGTATTTTAGCTTTTTCATGAAACAGTATTTTAAGAAATAAAGGTGAGCAGGGGCACTTTGAATTCTGGTTAACAACAAGTAGTCACGGCCCTGAGATGTTCTGCCCAATTGCAGCAAGTATTGTGACAGGTAGCTCTCTGTCTGACAAGCAGCGAGGGGAGGGCATTATCTTCATGTGGCCTGGGCTGGATGATGGGAGAAACGCCCCACCAAGAGATGGAAAGAAAAAAATCTGTATCTATTCCCCAGAGGAAGCATATAGATTTTAACTAAGTGCCTATGATCAAGTAATGGGAATGTTGTTTTCAGGTCAAAAACAAGTGTGACAACATTGTTTGCCCTGCTCTGGGCACACTCCCGTGTGGGCCTGATGCCTGGACCACCTGTGCCGCTTAATGCAAGGAGGGTGTAGGCAAATTGTGACTCACAGATCCACTGGGCAAACAGAAAGCAAATAAACCTTTATGGACTAGAGGGTTTCTTTTCTTCCTATATACCGTAGCACAGAAAACACAGTGATGACCAAATAAGTCAAATTGACACATTCTGTCATAGGAAGCAACAAGCAGCCATTCTGTTCAGCTGCACGTTATCTGCAGAGCAGTGCAATGTCACACAGCCACAGGAGAGGTTTAAAAAGACACTCTACTTTGCATCTGATATAAGTGATACCTTTTTTTAGCTATCTCAAAGTCTTTCCTTTCTCACTATTTAAAGAGGCAATTTATGATCAAAGGGCAAAGAACAGTCACACTTTTCAAAAGGTAAAAACCAGTTTGAGACAGTGCAGGCTGGAGACAGTGAATGTGACATCCATGTGGGCTCGGGGAGAAGCAGCCACATCCTGTGGCTATTCCCAGGAGGTGAGCTATTCCCAGGAAAATAACCAAGTGGGGAATTGGCAGGTGCCTTTGGCAGGGAAGTTTTGGGTCTCTCTGCAGACGAACCTACTGTTAATTCTGCAAAAGACCTCTGGATTCCTGGGTAATGGCGGCCTAAGAAGAAGAATTAAGCAGCTATCTAATTAGAGAAGGAACAGCTGCACTGCTCAAAAAAGACTGGCATTCTCTCCAGTGCTCCCGGAGCCAAGCTAGCACCTGATCGGATAAAGGCGCATCTCAAGGGGACCCAGAAGCCAAGTGAGTTATTTTCGAGAGTTCTTTTTTGGCTGCTCATACCTGTGGTGGGCCAGGGGGCTTGAACAGCCGGCTTCCCTGGCTCCTGATGTGGGTGGAAAAGCCGATTCAGCTTGTCTTGCATTTCCTGCTTGCCTTTCTCCTCACTGTCCTTCTTCTTGACGCTCTCCTCCCTCTTGAGTTTCTCCTCATCGTGGAGCTTTCGGGGACGCTGGTGTTCATTGTCCTGCTGCACGTGCTCAAGCCACTGCTTGTCCCTATCCTGGGCTCGTCTGTCAACAAAACGCTCGATTTCAGCCAGGAAGCAACGCCCGGTAACACTGCTACTGTGTCTTTCCTCACAAAGTCTCCGTGGAGCCAGGGGGCGCTAGACCTCAGGGATGGGGCCCTCGGCACCAAGGAAACAAGGGCTCTCAGGGCCCCCACGCAGAGGGAAATGAAGTTTTTCATGTATCTTATAAAGTGGTCATAAGAGTAACAAAAATACCTCTCAATTGAAAATTGGTAGATCAGCGCACAGTGCAAGTCGTGAAACACACAGGAAGGTGACAACCCGAAGAGAAGGCCCACCCAACACCGCGCATGAAATGTTGCTTCAGTAAGCCCATGACCATGCAGATCACTGAGGGAACACCACACCTCTGTGCACACATGAGTGCCCCAAACTGGGCGCAGGAGATTGTTCTGAACTCCTGAGTTAGTCACCACCTGCCAGTGACAGTTCCTCTTAAGTTTGACTGAATTCAACCCCTTTGCGTTGGCTTTTCAAAGCAGCTGACAGAGTTACCTGCAACTGGAGAAAACTAAGATGGCCTCCACCTGGAACCCTGAGGGAAAGACAGATGGGCCTCCCTGGTGGCCCAAGGGGTTAAGACGCCACCTGTGAAGCTGTCCACAGCCTCTGCAGCACAAGTTCGAGTCCAGGCCAGTCAGGGAGCTACCCAAATGGCACAACAGACCTCTCCTGACTCGCCTGCTGCTCCCCTCAGCAGTGTACTTCCTTCGATCTGCCTGTTCTGTTCCCCCCTGTCTCTGGTGAGTTCTCTCACACACACCACCTCCCACACACCTCTGGCCTGTACCCCCAGCTCTTGTATGCATAAATAAATAAATCTTTAAAAAAGAAATCTTTAAAAAAAAAAAAAAAGAAAGAAAGACTGGGGATGATTTTTCTCTTACTCATAACATTTTATAAAATCAGAAACACTCTAGCTGATCACACTTTGGATGAAACTAGTGTACAACAGTAAATGCTCCAGTGAGGACAGTAACTGGCCCCCCATCTACACTAACTACTTGAACCTTCACACCAGGTAGGTTAGTCCCATCATTACCCTCATAAGGTCACTTGGTGCATGCTGCCCAGAGCAGCAGCCCAGGCAGCCTGACTGTAAGCCGCACCCAGGTCAGTGCACAAGAACTTCTCCTGGCATGAAGACCCTGGCAAGGGCGCGTAACAGAAACAAATACAACACCTCTGCTCCATCTCAAAGCTAGGCGTTCGATTTCTGCTCTGTGTGAATGTGTAATGCTATTTGTTTTAGCTTACATCTTAAACATTTTACTTACAGTTTTCAAAACAAGAAAACATAAAAAACACGTTTTGGAGGGAGAGAGCTTTTAACTGCTTTGTATAACAACACAGCCAGAACAAAATTTGCCCAACATTTCCCACTGCTAAAGGTCACCACTTGTGAATGACTATGTCATTTCTGAAGCTAAATTCCGGGTACTATTTATCTGTAAAGCTGCATGCAGAAAAACTAACCTTTCTTAACTATGGTAGGTTGTGTTTGTGTCTCCTCTTCGGGGATATGAAAGTTCAGTGCAGTAGAGTGGGAATATTCAAAGCATTTTACAAACTTTGAAGATAAGATAAAGGGCGGAGTTAATGAATCAAACACCTCCAAGAAATGAATCCTTGGCACGTAATTCTAGTCCTACCCCCAATCAAATGAGAAAATAGTTCTCTAAATTGGTTTGAGATCCTTCCTACCCACCTACTGGCATGAAAAAACAAACAAACAAACAAACAAAAAAACCCACCAGCTTCAGGATACTATCCAGACCCACCAGAAAACATGCCTGGCTCGGGCAGATTACCAGCTCAGCCCCTATCACCAGCGACTTCCTCAAGCATTTCCTTCTTTATCTTTTTCATCTCATTTCAATAACCAAATTCCATAAGTTACACTGTATCATTGTATCATTGCTGACTTGGTCATTTTTGTCTCATGGCATTAAAACTAAATGAAATTCTAAAAGCAAATAGCCAATAATGAAATCAGACACACCAAAAGTCACAAAACACATTTCTACAATTCACTGCAGAGTTACAAGTAAACATTTAAAACCCCACAAACACAAGTAATTCAGACAAGAATGTGCTTGTCTCCCCAGCAGCAGCAAATGCTCTCCTTTTGTAGTCAAGTGTGATTTGCAGCTGACAAGAAGGTGGGGGAGGGGCACACAGTCAGTCCCCCAGAAACCCAGGGTGGGGAGCAAGCTGGGGCTCTAATCCAAGCCCTGCCACTGGCCACCACTGCTATTAAAAGGCTGTGAACTGGAAACGTATTCTGGTCATTGGCATGCAAATGAGTATAACAAGTGTCCCAATTTCCTTGTATAATTCCATTTATCCACATAGTAGCAGTTTGGGGGAGCTCTGGGAACTAACCAAAAACCTCAGGGGGTACTTACCTATGCAAAGATTTATTTACAACATGTGTTTGTACACCACCCCAACACACACACACACACACACACACACACACACCACTGAAAGCTCTTTCTGGTACTTGGAGAAGCCAGGCAAAAAATGGTAAAAACTCAAGTTTCCTTCCAGAGGGCCCCACAAGCCATTGACAAGACTCACCTTTGGGCTTCTTCTTTCTGTTTTTCCAGTTCTAGAATCTTCCGCTCTTGTTCTTTCCTTTTCAGTCGTTCAGCCTCTATGGACTTCTGTTTCTGGAGCTGCTGCTTATTATGTATTTCTCTTAGTTCCTGTAAATAATCAAGAAAACAGCTCCTGTCCAAGAGGTGATAGGCTTATCAACATGCAACACTTCCTCATGGGAAACATAAGCGCAGAGACAACATTTTGAAAAACGTTAATCTGGAAAATTCTACAACTCTGCATTTTGACATGACTAATCTCCATAGCCATTCAAGAGTGTGCTTTCGTAGCCTTGATGCATGCCACCATTTTCCATGATGTGCTTTTAAAGGAACTTCTAGCAAAGGGCATTTGAGCAGCCACACTCTTCAAGACTCAGCAATAACAAGAAACTTAACCAGTTTTAACACAGATCAACACCTGGAAAAAAGAATTCCATTTCTCATTCGCTTTCTCCCAGTCATAGCAAGGGAAGTAAAACTCAAACTTGTCAAAAAATTTAGCAGTATTGTTTTCCATAGTAATTTGAAATCAAGCATAAATAGTATTCTCTAATCAAATGAGTGGAAAATCTGGTTAATATTTTAGGTTTGATCTTTCAGAGAGAAATGGGAAAAAACAAGCCAATTCCTATAGTTACAAGGAATCTGCTCCCTTAGCTCGTTAGTAACTGCATGTGAAAAGGAAAACTGCAGTGGAGTGAGAGTCAATAGACTCTAATGTTCCAGGAGAGGGACCCAAAAGTGGGCCCCTCACAGACAGGGATGGGCTTACTCAGACATTTGTTCACCACCTGAGAACCTTTAAAAGTGAAAAAAACTCAGATTTGCCTTTTCTTCCTACTTTAAAATTTCATCTTCAAATGTATAAAATAGGTTCAGAAAGGATAATTTGCAGCAACCGAGTATAATTAGAAGTTACTAAACTAGGAACAAAGAAACCTGGATTCTAATTCCAGGTCCCTGACTCGGGCCTGAAGCTGAAGCGGAGTAGACAACTTTCAGGGTTTCTTTTAGAATTAAGATCTGTGAAATTCTTAGACAATGTTCATCACATAAATATGTGTTCTTTATTTCAGTGTCTCTTTTATTTAGGGTTTTATTCTTATCACAGGAATAAACCAAAAAGGTATATCCAGTAAGCAAAATAACTCTGAGCTGAAATTAAATGAAAAGGACTAAGAAATGAGAGAGGAGGGGTAACATTTCAGTTTGCTGTTCAGGAACATTATCATTTATTTTAAAAGTTCCTGCTTTGTGTTGTCATTTGTTAAAAAAATTCTTGCTTAACGTAGGGGTAGGGGAAGGAATGTATCTATAGACAGGGAATAGTCAAAGTAACTAACAACCAGTACTACTCATACTCACATTGGCCAGCTAGACAGATGCTGGCCATGATGTACCAAATGTGCCAGGGAGACCTGGGCACAAATGAAGATTTTTCATTTTACCAAAGAAATACACTCACTGCATGTTTCCTTTCTATACCAGGCTCTAACAGTGGTTGTTGATTGATAGATAAAAAAATTGATTACAAAAAACAAAGTCAAGACAGACGGAAGTAATGCTAGTAACATTGCAGGAGGGGCTACAAAATGAGAAGCAGGGCCTCCCCGGTGATGCAGCAGTTGAGTGTTGGGCTGCGAAGCTGCATGCAGACTTTGCAGCGCCGGTTCGATCCCCGGCCACTGGGCGAGGGTCCCACATGGTGCGCAGACCTCTGCTGCCGCCCGCTGCTCCCCTCAGCAGTGTACTTCTTTATCAGTCTGCCTGTTCTGCTCCCTGCTCTGGCTCTGGTGAATTCTCTCACCCTCCCACGCTTTTGACTGTACCCAGTGCTTGTATAAATAAATAAATAAATCTTAAAAAAAAAAAAAAAAAAAGGATCTACAGGAAAAACTCCAGCTAATGACAATTTTATAAATAATTATTAAAAGTAATATATGCAATAAGATTTAAAATGTTTAAAGCACTTAATTTTTGAGCACCACAGCATTACAGGACAGGCTAGCTCTGCCTCTCTGGGAACTACCTAAGTGAGCCGCAGCTTCAAGTACCTCCAAGGCAGGGAGCTTGCAGAAGCCATGAAATAACAGATCTCACATTAGGTAACAGAAGGCTCTGGCATCTTATGATCCAGATGTGGAGACTGCAAAGCCTTTCTATTATTTCCTTCATCTAAGTCAAAGACTGCTGAGATACACAATCAATGGCAAGAAAATCAAGATGCTGTACAGAAACAGGCCTTCCAAGTCTTCCTCAGACTTAAAATGGCATGAATCAAAATAAGCAGAAACTTTATTTTTTCTAAGCTAATAAACTTAAAACACAAACAAAACTGAACTTCTGAGAAGGCAATCTATACAATGTAAGAAACATATGCCCCAATCTAGTTAAAGACTTGCCTACAGAGGCTCTAATAGAGGCTGTGGAGACCGAAGCTCTCTCCCCTGCAAGCAGAGGGCTGCTTTGCTTTTCTTTTTAACATGTTTAAGAAACTCAAGTACAATCACAACTATAGTAGTCTTTTCATTTTAACAGGGCAAGCATTTGTAAGGTGACAAATCTGGTGTCATTACATTCTTTAAGCTGGAAATGAAAGGACTATTTGGAGAAGGCGCGAAGAAAACATCACTTCATGAACTGTCTTATCTTTCCCTGGTGATCAGTCTGACCCTGCAAATTCTATTAAATCTTGTCACAGCTAAGATAATAACTGAAGGAGAAATAGGGAATTACTAAGAATCACGTGTCAGTTTTTTATTCTTTAGGAAGACCTAAAACTAACTTTTTTCCCTAAAATCAGTAACTATACTCACATATTTATTGTCTGGGTATTTGTCTGGCAATATGGCATTGGCACAACTTTTGTTGCCTTTTCTTCTATTCAAGGGTATGATGTTTTGCATTAGGTAGAATGCACAATAACTTAGTATTATTTCCCACAAAATATAACAACTTTCATAATAAACAGTATACATGCATGCAAGAAGGCTCAGTCACATATTAAAAATTATAGGAAAAATAAAACTACTATAAAATGTGTAGTGTATATAAAATAAAGATTTTTATCATCAATAATATTTACAGAATTTGAATACATAGCAGAATTCCCAAACTGGGTATAATAGGAATAAACTCTGGCTCCATATAGTAGGAAACTGCATGCAAACTGGGCTGTCAGGCGTAGAGCTTTTATTTGATTTTCAAAAAACATATCTTATGAACCACAATAAGGAAATGATTGGTAAATAAAGATTCTGTCTTATATTAGTTAAGATACATGAAAATCAATTTGCTTTTAACTTTCTTCCTTTATCAAGAGGGAAAGTCACTTATTTCCCCCTAAAGAATTAAGATATTTGTACCAGAAAACATCTTTGGACATCTATGGCAAACAGCCAAAGTATTTCAAAAGCAATATGATTGACAAATTGAATTCTCAAGAAGATCCAATAATTTCTGCCTTGAGAAAGTGCTCACGCTCAAGTTTACTAAAGACAGCTCTTCAGCTGTGAAAGGGACACAGAATCACTGGGTTTAAAAACTGTTTTTCCTTTATTTGGTCCTAGAGACACTCAAAAATATATGCATTACATGAGGTACATTACTTGCAATATAGAAGCATTCCTCTGAACAGTATGTATGGGATGCTTTTCATAAATACTTCACTGCATAGAGGCTTGTGAAGAGCGAAACATTAATTAGTAAGAGGAGCCCTAGTAATAAAGGCTTAAGAACTAGCAGTTAACTAGGAAATTCATTGCTAATTTGGTCATTTAACCTTTTGGGTTTCTGCCTCAAGTGGTCTCGTGTGAAAGAGAAACAAAAACAAACACACCTGGATTAATGACTTGAGATTTGTGAACTCAACATTATAAATCAAAATAAAACTGTTTAGAATAAATCTCCTATATCTGTAATAACCCTCATGCTATTTGTGTTAATTGACCTCATAGGAAATTGATGTAGGTACTAGCATCAGAAATTTTAGGTGTTCATTTGTCTAAACCTAACACCTATAGAAGTCAAAAGTAGAAATGTTTCTATAAATAAACATTACTTTACTGCTCACCCAGGGATATTACGTAGCACACAGTATCAGTATTTTTAAAAGGCCTTTTGGGTCTTAAAATAGAGAAACTTATCCCAATTAACAATTTGTGAAGCAGATTGAAAGCTTTTAAAGAAATCAATCAACAACAAACTCCCTGAGGATAGAGATATTTGTTCCTGCATAGAAAAATTTGAAAAATAACTACCACACAACACAGAAATTGTACCAACATCAAGGTAAACTGATGTGCTGTTGCATTAAAAGTGGAAGAGCATAAAAAATGTATCAATGGGGCTATTTAAATTCTGAGAAGAGGTATACCCATGTTTAAAGACATCCAAATATTACTTCTACATATGATGCCAATATTGAGCCAAATAGTAAGCCCACTCCCCGGGACACTGATGGTAGTCAATGTCCTAAGTGCCCTGGGAGAGTCAAAGAGGAGAAAGAAAGAGCAGGAAGGAGAGGGAGAGAATACACAACATCTGTTAACTATTTTGAGTCTTGGGAGTGAACAGAAAATATTGTTCTACATACAAGGAATCGGTAAACTTTCCACAATCACAAGCACATTGAGTGAGAGTGAGAATTTCATTACTTCTGTGCAGGAGTGGTCTTTTCAAAAGGATCATGCAGCTAAAATTAGAAATTAATCTTGAACAAAATAAGGCAGAAAACCAGGAAAGAGCCAAACATGATCCAACTTAATTTGACAAGGCAACGCTGTTATTAGGATTCATACTGATTTCTCTTGCTGCCTCAGTGTCTCCTCTTTCTGGGTCTTTCTCTTCCCTTCATTGTTCCCCTTAGCATGCTTTCCCCCCTGACTTCTCATTCTGCTCTGTGCTGCTTTCTCCAGCTCTTTTCTTTTTTTTCTCCTGGTTGCTAAACATTCTGCCTTTCACTGCTTTCATAATGAATGAGCCTGCCATGAAAGGCAGGGTCTGAAACCAAGAACAGCAAAGCCGTAGTTGAAGCTGACAACCTCGGCACACTCATTTCCACACAATTCAGTTCACAGGAGCGATTTTTAGGACAGGTATCGTTT